CATTATTGCCAAAGTAATAATAACGATGCAGAAGTGAAAAAATGGCAAATATCAGACATTTTGCAAACACACATGCACAACAAGGATTTTAGATACTGGTTCACCAAAATGGGTGTCATCGTCCAAAGCAAATCCTGCTTGAGAGTTTTTCACTATGATTTTTGACCTAACCTTATCCAAATCAAAATGCAAACTGCCACATTTGCAGTCTACAAATATGCAACAATCCAATTGAGCCAACAATCCTTGTCAATTTGAACACCATCGTCTACCAAGGAGGATAATCCCTCTCAACCAACTGAGAGAAAAGTTGTTGAAGAAGACACAATGATCCTATAAGCTGAATGTGTTAAATATGTGCGACAGCAGTGGTTAGATTCTGTTTTAATCTCTGTAAATGATTGACCTAATTGACATTTGTTTTTTGATGGAACAGAATATATGGCAACTTTCAGAATCTTCTTTTTCAGAAATCAGAAAATGTTTTATCAGCTTGAGAAACTTGCCTCAAAAGAAAATCAAACAGCTGAATGGGATCTTAATATGTCTCAAAAAATTTTTTCTGCCCAAAACCATAACCCCCCCCCAGTGGCTAAAATCCAAACCACCATTATGGTTATTGATAACCATAGATATCCTATTAGACTAGAAAATGTAGCAATAATTTTAAAAGAACACTATTCACCCCCCCTCTAGTGTTCAAGTGTATCTATTTCAGATCCTACAGGATTGCCTCGCCTAGACATTATCAATTCAATGTAGGCTGCAATCTCATCACATTTTGCCTCATCTGAATATAATAAACACTGTAAGTTAGATTGTATTCTCAGTAAATGCTAAACATCATCATTGCCAAATATCAACTATGGAGCACATCATGCTCCAGCCATATGTCAACCGATAGCAACATAACCCCAATGTTTGAGATCAAAATCGATAGCAGAAAAAACTGGCAAAAAACCCAAAGCCAAAGAGCTAACAAGCTCCACCTGACAGCCAAAACCCTAAAGCCAATGAGCTACACAAGCTCAAAAACCGACAGCAAAAAACCCATACGTAGGAGCTACACAAGCTTCACAAACCTGATGACAAAAAAACACAAAACCAAAGAGCTAAACAAGCTCCACCTGACAGCCAAAACCCCAAAGCTAAGGAGCTACACAAGCTAAAAACCAACAAATTAAACTCAAACGTAGGAGCTACACAAGCTCCACAGACCTGATGGCAAAAAAACCCACAACCAAAGAGTTAAACAAGCTCCACCTGACAGCCAAAACCCCAAAGCTAAGGAGCTACACAAGCTAAAAACCGACAAATTAAACTCAAACGTAGGAGCTACACAAGCTCCACAGACCTGATGGCAAAAAAACCCACAGCCAAAGAGTTAAACAAGCTCCACCTGACAGCCAAAACCCCAAAGCGAAGGAGCAAAACCGACAAATTAAACCCAAACGTAGGAGCTACACAAGCTCCACAAACCTGATGGCAAAAAAACCCACAGCCAAAGAGCTAAACAAGCTCCACATGATAGCCAAAACCCTAAAGCCAAGAAGCTACACAAGCTCAAAAACCAACAGCAAAAAACCCATACGTAGGAGCTACACAAGCTCCACAAACCTGATGGCAAAAAAAACCAAATTCAAAGAGCTAAACAAGCTCCACCTGATAGCCAAATGTAGGAGCAACACAAGCTCAAAATCTAAGCGTAATAAACCCAAAGCAAAGGAGCAACACTAGCTCCACCTGACAACCAAAAACCCACATCAAAGGAGCAACAAATTAGCTTCACCTGTCATCAAAAGCAAAGGAGCAACATTAAGAACTCATTGGTCATGCCTATCCATACTTACCTGTATCAAAAGTTAAAAAGTACAAATTCATTAATTACATGACGTCATAGCGTTTTCATAATAAGAAGTATTGCAACATTAATAGTTTGTAAATAACAAAACGATATATGCGTAACAACATATACGCGTGCACAACAAAATGCTCCATCAAAATGTAATCCAAACCCAACAAATTAGTTAACAGACCAACCTTGGTCGTTAATCAGGTTGGTAATGTACCTCTGCTGACCTTCCTTAGATTTTATGAAAAACCTTATAGCTTCACGTTCATTGTCATATAAATGATCTAAAATCCTATCCAGAAATTCCTCAGAATATTCATTCCTATCTTCCTTCAACGCTGCAGGCAACTGCTCAGACTAATGAACAATGTGTTGATTTCTTGTTGACTGAGACATTGAGTCAACAAAGGCACATAGCATTTCCTCTTCACGATTTGATTTTTTAGGTTTCTTATTAGAGGATGAATTCATGTTGTCTTTACTCTTAGACTTATATCTAGTGGGTTGTTTTTTTGTTACAAGCATCAGATTGTGGTGTAGTTTCACTCTCCTCTGGAAGCTCACTATCATCATCAGGAATAGGTATGGACCTACTAGACCCAATGTTAGCATACACAGGCCTAACAAATTCACCCTTAGCTTAGTCATCACCCATGATCACCTGTAAATTTTTGAAGCGAGGGAGGGATTTGTTTATGTATGCTTTGAACTTAGATTTGGATTTGTCCTGCAATAACAAATAATCATAAATAACAAAATATATTAATTACTAATGACAATGTAGATGCTGAATGTTATACCTAAGACCACGATTTTAACGTTTCGTCATCCAGTGTAATCATATTATTTGTTTCATCCCACCCAGCTCCACTTATATCAAGGCAAGCCTTCATGTCATTAAATTTGTTTCTCAAGCATTTCAAGTGGTTAATGACATGTATATGAGTGAAACCAGTCATGAATTGCATGTTGATTTTCATTGCTACCATTTTATAAGCTTCTGCCTTGAAGTTCTTGTCTGGCTTTAGCCCATCTAATGCTAATTCTGTAAGATAAGGAATGAGCACATCATCGTGCTCTGGAAGTCAAAACTTATTAGCTACACCTCTTGAGTTCAACCTTGTCCCCAGGGCCGTTTTCTTATGAGCTAATTTTTTTCTTTTTTTTCATTGGTGAAGTGTTCTCCTCACCATCAACGTCGTGAATAACCTTCCTAACTGAATCACCAGTGTTTGGTGAAAATTGATTAGGTCTACTACTTTGAAAACTAGTTGTGGGAAATAGCAAACCTTGTGGACTGCTTAACATGCTCACGTATGACATTGGCTGTTGTGTCATTCCACCATAATTGACATCGTATAGTGAGAATGGTGAGAATGTATGGCGGGGGTGAAGTGAAAGGTTGTGATTGAACAGGCGTGAAGTTCATGTTAATGTTAGCAGTTGGATTTGGCGGAGCATTAGAATGAGAAGACACGGTCTGCTTATCTGCCTGATTGTTAGCCATACCTAATATATATTGCACAAGTAGACATTGTTATTAAAGAAATCTAAATCAATATATAATATGCATGCATTTAGCAAACAAGTTACAAAAGGAATATATGAAACGCCTACATCTACATATCCACAAATCTATATCAACCTATATAATTAAATAACTAACAAATCTATATCAACGCCTATATAATTAAATAACTAATAAGAATATTGAAATCGTAAAACCATATATCTACATATCTACAAATCTATATCAAGCGGTGAAACAACTATTTCATATTTTGCACCCTAAGCATGCACGCTGATCAAACAAATATAATTAAGGTTTTCATTCCATGGTTTAATCATTTGAAGTACTACAATAACAAAAAAAATCCAGAGAACCGGAAATCAATAATCAACTATGTACCAAAACCCTTGTTTTATGAGAGATTAGACATGTAATAAATTTTCAAAACCAGTGCTTTCTACTACCAATGTTAATTTCCTTAGAGCAAGCACAATGAAACGATCACATTAAAAGGGCGAAAATGTTTTATACATGCAGTTACCAAGGGAATGATTCAGAAATTGATGTCGTTGCCAACAAACCCCACCGGACGGAACAGACCCACAAAACCCACCAAAGCCAACAAAGCGTCGAGCCTCGTCTTCGAAAAAGAAATCAAAGAGATGAGGCGGAATAAAGGGTCGCGGGAGAAGCTGAAGCCAATATCTAGGGTGAAGAAGATTGAAAAGAGGTGGTGAAGCCAAATCCACCAACCGAACCCACCAACATCATGAATCGAAGAACAGCGAGAGAGGAGGCGTGAAGAAGCTTGGGGAGAGGCGGGAGAAGAATTAGGGGAGTTGCTGATTCCAGGTCTAGGGCTCGTGCTCGTGAAGAAATGGACTCCGAAAACGAAGAGAAAGGGCCATTGTCAGCTTTTTTGAGCAATTCCTCTCGTGAACTTCTGATTTGGGTTTCCATAAAACATCGCTACTGTTCCACTTTTATAGATTTTGGAATCTATAGCCTAACTCAAGATTAGGATTGACAAAGAATCCAAATATTACGTTTTTGTCACTGTCAGATTCAAATACTAATCCTTATCTATAAATTGGGTGAAACAAACACCCCCTAAGGTCATTTTAAAAAGGCTCTCATTTGTACGAAGGCCTACGGTCTAGTTTAGAAATTTGAAGATCTTGGGGGTCTAGTATATAACGAAAAAAATAGATTTGGGGTCTAGTATGATAAAAACCCAACTATGATAAACAAGACTGACAGCTGTTCATCCCTCGATAATTGCTGTCCTGTCCTCTCCTCACCAGTTCCAAAGTTTTGACCCAAAAAGCCTCCCACACTGTTAATAAGACGAAAAAAAAAAAATCTGTTTCAGCACTAAATTAATTGAAGCCTCACCCATCCTCAGTGGGTCCCACACTTTCCATTCTTTTGCCCACACCCCCTTCGCGCCTCGATCCCAGGCAGCCATTTCTTCACTCTGAAAACAGAGAGGCTCTAGAGAGAGAAAGAAGAGAGAGAGAGAGAGAGGAGGGAAAAAAAATGGTGGAAACAAACCCAAATCCTGCAGGTGATGCTACAGGAGTTCACCCCCCTCCAGCGTCGACGGTGGTTCCAATTCACCAGCAGATAATGGCGTCAGCATCAGCGAGAGGATCTGTTCACCCTCCAACTGAGCAGCTTCATCAGCTTCAGTTCTGCATCCACTCTAATCCTAGATGGCGTAATCTCTCTCCCCCCTCTTTTTCTTTTTAATGATTTTATCTGTTTACTAGCTTGGAGATGTCATCTGGGTTCTTGGGTTCTAATCATTTTGTTTGATCTTTGACTGTATTTTCCTTAAAAAGAATTTGCTTCGATTAGTTTAGATGTTATTGACTTATTTAGAACCCAAATGGTAGCAAAAAGTAATTTGTTGAAGTTGCATAATTTACATGTAGGTGGGTTCTAACTAAATGAAACATATATGAAATTTTATCAAATCTTTTCTTTTTTTTTTCTTTTTTTTAACCACTTTTAGAGAAAAATTCTGTAAATTAGAGTATTGAAGAACGTGGACTGCTTATGAAAAATTTGGAAGCACCCTCTAGACCTGAAAATTTTACTTCCTAAGCCTGTATGGGTTTAGCTTGGGTTATTTTGATTATTAGTGTAGGCCCCCAAATCTTAATAAGTATTTTGAAATAAGTCCCTTTGTCATTTGATGCCCAAGAATCTATTTTGCAACCATTTACTTTCTTACTCTGTTATTTGATGTTAAGAAATTTAAGGATGATAGGTAATGCATGTTGCAAGGATAGAAAGATGCTTCAAGGGGGAAAAAGAAATTCCTTTTTGAGTAAAAGGTGGGATCAATTTGTTGAGAAGTCTTGAATCATAAACAACTTTTTTTTCTTTTTGAGAAAAAAGTTTGAATCAGTGATTATCCCCCACAGTCGAACAACTTTTTAGGACCTTTACAAGGAATCGAAGAGCAGGGCAAAGGAAAGGAGCCCCCGACTAGAATTTTTTATTGTCTCCGCAACTTGGATATTCTGATAAAATCATGGGTACATAATCCTAAGGATTATATCAGTGTTCTTTTGTCTATTTTGATAATTAATGGGTATTTTCATAGCGTTCTGAGGTGCTCTCGCTTCTGTATTCTCCATAGTTTATGATCATAGTTAATGATCAATTTACTGTTGTCCTTGGAAGTAGACCTTCGTGTTGAACCACGTAAGTATTTATTGTTTGAGTTTTTCTTTTCTTGTTTGAGTTTTTCTTTTCTTGTCTGTTTTCTCATTATCCTTAACAATTCCATCCTATTGCATTAGTGAGTTTCAATGAAACAGTTTAAAACAAAAATAGAGCATCTTGTCAATATGGGGAAATTTTTAATATCTAGCTCCAATTCTTTTGTAGAGAGGTCTTATGTTCGAATTTTCTTTCCTGCGTTCACATTTTCATCTTCATAATAATAATAAAAAATCTCCAATCCCCAATATAAGAAACTCTGTCAGATACAATAAATCCTTATAAACATGGATATGCAAGAGTGAGCACTTGCAAAGAAGGCTGATATCTTCATTCTTCCAAAGAGGATCCCATATTGCTAGTTAAGTACTTTTATTTTCAGAGTTCACCATATTATCCCTCTATTAATTAGAGGACTATTCTCAAATTGAATTGTATTATTTCTGTTGGGGGAGTTGTAGTGTGGATGTTTCCCTACCCTACGTATATCCAACAAACGGGATGAATGTTTTCTATTTTCTAATATATATATATTTTTAATTTGTGTCATTTATGATGTGTCCTCTAATTTTGTGAATTGTTTTTTTTTTTATAAACTCTGTTTGACTTACTCTTAATACAACAACGAACAATTTACAGCTGAAGCTTTTATGCTTGCATTCCAACACTACATTGTGATGCTGGGTACAATCGTAATGATATCTTCTGTTCTAGTTCCTCAGATGGGTGGCAGCCATGTAAATTTCTTGACTTAATTCATTTTTCTAAAGATGGCATATTTGCAATATGCACTTTCCCATTACTAGTTTAAATAACATTCACATCCTCTTCCCTCAAAATAAATCTTTTGAATCAGGGAGATAAAGCACGCGTGATTCAGACATTTCTCTTTATGAGTGGGGTTAATACACTTCTTCAAACATTTATTGGAACTCGGCTTCCAACAGTGATGAATCCTTCCTTTGCGTTTGTCATCCCAGTGATGACTGTAATCAAAGATTTTTCTTCGAGGCCCTTCATCAATGAACATGAGGTAAGTAAAGCGAAGTCGAACATATCATGTATATCTCTTCGAAGTTTTTGGCTATTCTATTGAATAAATAACCTACAATTTAGTTGATCATAATGATTAAAGTTGGTCTTTTGCAAGTTTGTCTATTTTAGTGTTCCTGCCATTTTTATCTTTTTTTTCTGTCCGAGATTATTGAGATCTTGAGTAGACTGGTGTCAGTTTGATAGGTTATATGATGGAATAATATACAAAATTATAGGGCACAAGTGAGATGTTTTCCTTGCTTAAATGATCAAATTGATACGTAAATATATAAATTTGGCAATCTCAGCCTAATCTATCCTTGTGGAATTTGCAGAGATTTGTCCATACTATGAGAGCCATACAAGGAGCACTAATTGTTGCATCATTTGTTAATATAGTTATCGGGTATAGCAAGGCATGGGGAAATATTTCAAGGTAACAATGCTCTAAACCACTATTGAGGGAAACTTCAACCTTATGTGAAGATCTAATTTGATGATTGGATTTTACAAATATTTCTTCAGGTTCTTCAGCCCTGTAGTTATTGTACCAGCGGTTTGTGTAGTGGGTGTAGGACTATTTGAGCGAGGCTTCCCTCAGGTATGCTGTTTTCTTATTCCATATGATTTAAATATTTGAATTTATTTTAGTAAGTGGTATATTACTATAAATGGGGAAAATAGATCATTTGATGTTCTTGATTGCCTACTCAATCAGCTGGCAAAATGTGTGGAGATTGGACTGCCCATGCTAATTCTGTTGGTTGTCCTGCAGCAGGTGAGTTCACAAACCATGTAATATAACAATTGTAAGGGGAAAAAAGAAACTATAGAGGGCCCTTTGTGGATGTTATGACAAAATCCCCAGGATAAACTAATATCAATCACACGAAAGTGCAAAAAATATCGAGAACACAAGAACACAGATATACGTGGTTCGGCTTGTAGCCTACCTCCACGGGCGTCGAGAACACAAGAACACAGATATACGTGGTTTGGCTTGTAGCCTACCTCCACGGGCGAATGAGGAGATTAACTGTACTAAATTGTGAGGAATACAATATGGAAATCTCTCAATAACTCAACCCCTATCCCACCCCAATAATCTCAATACAATCTCTCTCACAAGTCACAATCTCTAATAACATAGAGCAAACCAAAAGAGAGAGCCAACTCGAAGAATCCTTGAACAAATAGGTTCGGCCTGCAGAATCAAATAGAAGCTAACTGCAGCCGTGCACTCTCTGGTGGATTACCTCTTCAAAAGAAGAGCTTGGTGATATTTATATAAAGGCCCTTCATACAATTCCCTATTTAATTAGATGTCTTACTATATATTAATTCTAAGCACTTTGGAGTCTTGTGAGTCATGAACGATAGGAAATCAAATCCTGTGAGAAATAGGATTTAATTTCCCAACCTTATCATTAGTTCAATCAAAGTGTCGGCCTAGTCTCAAGCAAACCCAATGAGATTTCAGATCTGGGTTTTCTGGGTCCAAGTTTTGAGGCACACTAACAGTAGAAAACCATATAGGGAGGGAACAAAACATCACTAGTATCGCACTACCAATCTTACATCAACAATCGTTATACAATTCAGTGCAATCAATATCAGTGCAATCATAACTATGTATCATAACAATGTATCAGTGCAATCACCAACTTTAAAAATAGAGTTCATTGCAGATAGAGCCCCTATACTATTGCCAAATTACAGATAGGTCCCCTATACTTCTATTATTGCCGAATGTAGATAGACCCCTTGGATTCTCAACTCCTTTAGTTTTCCCATTTAAATTGGTTATATGTAATGCTCGTTGTACAAGTTCATAGTGTGTAAATCAGTTTATGAAGCCCATATGTTTCAGTTAATTATGAAATCCAATCTTAACATGAAACTAACGGACTTTGAGAATCCAGAGGGTTTATCTGCTACAATAGGAATGCATGGTATTTATCATCAATTTGGCATAGTACAAGGGATCTATCCGCAATTAACCCTTAAAAATATGTACTAGTAACTGCTACATGTTTTTACATCTCTTACCTAGTTACCTTCATGTATGATTTTATGTAGATGCCCTCTATAGGATTTTTTTGTATGCTATGTGCAAACAAGCTAACCAGCTTTTTAAAAACTCTCCATATAGTACATGAAGCATGTAAACGAGAAAGCATATTTTGTGATCGAGAGGTTTGCTTTACTAGCTTGCATAATGATTGTCTGGGCTTTTGCTGCTCTTCTCACTGTCAGTGGGGCTTATAACAATGCTGCTCTTCTAACTAAGGTGCATTGCCGCACTGATCGTTCCTTTCTTATGTCATCTGCTCCATGGTAGTGCTTTAAAACTCATACTTCTTATTCCTGAAGTTGATATGTCCCTCTAGTTTTCAACTTTATATTTGCCATTGTGTTGGGATTTATTTTCAGGATTAAGATACCCTACCCGTTTCAGTGGGGTCCTCCAATTTTTGGTGCAAGTCATGTATTTGGGATGATGGGTGCAGCTCTTGTTTCAATTTTTGAGGTTTGGATTTTATACCAAATTCTTCCTTCTCTTTATCTTGCAATTTTATTATGTTCGCATATTTCCTTAAAAAAAAGACACATTTTCATTAAAATTAGTCCCTTAATCTTTCATTATTTGAAATTAGTCCCTCAAATCGTTGAAATTGCCATTAGCTTTCCCAATTCTTACATCATTTTGAAACTAGTCACTCGAATCAAGATTAGACATAGCAATTAGAGGGATTAATTCGTAACAGCTTATGAGAATTAGGGGGGCACCATAGCAGTGTGAATTATATGAGAGAATAATTTCAAAATAACTTAAAAGAGTAGGAGACCTAATAGCACTTTTCAATGATTTGAGAGCCTAATTCAAAATATTAAAGATTTAAAGGACTAAATATCAGAAAAACCCAAAAAAAGGTATTAAGTTCGTTTCATGAATTTTGTTAGTGTCACGTATAATTTCCTCGTTTTCTGTTAATTGCAGTCGACAGGCGCATATTATGCTGGTGCTCGACTAGCAGGAGCTACGCCACCTCCAGCTCATGTGCTTAGTCGAAGCATTGGTCTTCAGGTTTGTTAACATTGTCTGGTTACGCTTGACGTTTCCTTTTTCTTGTTTTTGTTTCTTTGATTCTAAGTTTTGAGTGGAGATGAGTATCAAACTTCGCAATGTAGACTTCAAAGAGTTTTTTCTAAAGAAATTATGGAGATATTGTGTTAATGCTACAGAAAAAGAGGAGCTATTTCCTGATAACAGCAATTTTAGTGCAAATAAATGTACTACTCAGCATTCATTTTTCTTCTGCATGATAGTAATATATAGTTGTGTTGTAGGCCAACATGATTATTTGTTTCCTTTTGCAGATTAGCTTTGTTCTTGAATGGTTTCTGACGTAATTTAATTTGGTGGAATGAAGAAAGTGTTTTTGCAATGAATTAAGTAATGTTTGTTACGTTACAAAATAAATGCAATGTGCAGTAATATTGCAATCGAATTGCCAAAAAATATGCATTGAATCATATTACGTTATAGTTTACGAAGTTTTGCATTCCAACCATCCATAATATTAACAATAGTTACATACTCAAAGCCCTCAAACACGAACATCTTTAGAATTTGTAACATAAGATCTAACATTTTACACGCATAAAGATAAAAAACAAATGATCTGCATCAATATGTGTACAGGGTGTTGGAATGCTGCTTGAGGGAATATTTGGCGCTGCAGCTGGTTCAACGGCATCAGTGTAAGGCTTCAACAAGATTTTATCTAGTTCAATCGGTTTTAAATTGTCAGTGATTGTAAGTCATGTCATGTAGTGAAAATGTTGGACTCCTTGGATTGACACGGATAGGAAGCCGGAGAGTGGTGCAGATATCAACTGGTTTTATGATATTCTTCTCCATCTTTGGTTTGTGTTACCGGCTTTTTTATGCAGAGCGAAAAATCAGTGTAGATCAGCATAACTTGAGATTAATCACTACATTTTGCAGGAAAATTTGGGGCATTTTTTGCATCAATACCGTTGCCTATATTTGCTGCTATGTATTGCGTTCTGTTTGGCCTTGTCGGTGAGATAACAATAAATCATCTTTTCTTTCTTTCATTGTTTTTGTTTGTGGAATTTCACAAAACTACTTACAAAGCTTTTTCATTAGAGAAACTACCATTAACTTTCAAAATACAGAAAAATATCTTGAACTATTGAAAATTATTGCTAATGGCTTTAATGCCTTAAGATAAAGGTCTAAACTACCTATTTGCTATTTGTCTATCAATCTACAAGTTCATAAGGGTAATATAAAAGATGTATGAAGTATGTTAAGGGCAGACTTATCAAAAATATGTCACATGCGAAGCACATGAATGAAAACTTATCTTACTTGCCATCAGGCATGGTAGTTCATTGAGAAGTTCATGAAAGTTTTCTCCAATAAAAAAGTTTATGGTAGTCTTGTGAAATTTACCCTTTTTAATTTCAGTTTGTTTCTACTCATTTCTCACGGTGTTTCTGATCTGTGCATGTTATAGCTGCTACTGGAATATCATTCATTCAATTTGCGAACAACAACTCTATGAGAAACCTCTACATAATAGGTCTCTCCCTTTTCCTTGGGATATCAGTTCCACAATATTTCAATGAATTCACCAGGTCTGCTGGCCATGGACCTGTGAAAACAAATGCCGGTTGGGTAAGTGACAAATTATTAGCATTGTTATGCAACCTTGTTTCTTCTCTTTTTTTAATTGATTTGCAATGGACTACATTTCTGGCAAATATGCAAATCCAATAGGTATGCATATCCGAAACGTGGATTTGAATTTGGAAATACATATACAATAAAAATGCATATGTCCAAGCTATAGAATTAAGGTTAATTTCCCGCAATAAATTTTGCAAGCATCATTCTACATGCAACATTTACTACATTTACATTTGTTGCATACCAACCAACCCCTGAAAGCTGAAGTGTAGTAATATGAAATAACTACCAAAAAATATATTACGATTATTTATGCATTGTTACTATTTCGCAGTTTGATGACATATTGAACACAATGTTTTCATCTGCTGTACTTGTGGCGATGGTCGTTGCTACTGTTCTTGACAACACGCTGGAGGCCATGAACACGGCCTCAGACAGAGGTCTTCCATGGTGGGTCCCTTTCCAAAACAGAAAGGGTGATGTTCGAAATGAAGAGTTCTACAGTTTCCCGATAAGGATACATGACTTCCTTCCGACAAGATATCTTTGAAAATACATGTAAAAATTTTGCGCTTCTTTAAGTTCGAAAGCTAATGATACGAGGTGTTTTTAGGTGGTTTATGAGAATTTTGTGTAGCTTGTGTTGTAACTAGGAGGTTTTGTTTGTGTGATGCTAGTCAGTGTGTTGTTTGTTGTCAAGTCGTTACACTCTTTATTTTCTCTGGGTTGTAATTTGTACAGAGATATTACATTTTTTACTTGGTAGCTTAAATGGATTGAACCCTGATTGTTTCTGGTTTCTTATATGTATACAAGACTTTGTTATTATTCTATTAACAGTAGCTTTTCCTTTTTGTTGATTAAACACATCTCATTCCTCATTTCATTCTACCGTACTATATGTTTGCTTTTTCGAGAATGTGTTTAGAATGTGGCATGAATCACAGAGTATCATGATCCAAGAACTGATATTTATTTAATGCATCACTGATGTAATAGGCCAAGTCTACTTGATGTAATAGGCCAAGTCTACTTGATACTATTTTCATTTAGTTTGAGTTGTCTTTATCAATAACAAAGTATGAATCTTCTCCTAATTGAGGTAATCACCAATAATCCATACACGAACAAGAGCCATCCTTGAAGTGATGAAATCTAGTTCTATCTCTCACCACAATCTCCACATCATACGCTCTAGAAATCAATTTAGTCATAGTGTGACAATCTCCACAAACCCTCAAGTTCTTCAGTACTCTTATAGGCATCCCCTTCTTCGCGTTGAGCAATCCAAACGCAATAGCGATCCTCTCGCTGTGAAACTTCAGAGACCCCGATTTCACTCCCTCGACTCCAGCCACCATCGGGGCCTGCGACGAATCTGGCCTATATCCAACCGACGCCAGCTTATCTTCCACTTCACCCATCTTCGCGTATATCTCATCCGACTGAGGATGCGAGGTATCTCCAGCAATGAACTCGTGAACAAGCCCGTCGATTTCTATCGAGCTACACCCTGGCTCCTTTCTTATTCCCCTTTCAGACATTATTTTCCGAACCGATCCTACATCGTCCCATCGGTTTGCCAATGCGTAAACCTTCGAAAGCAGCACGTAAGTTCCGCTGTTAGCATGTTCGTCCCCTGCCTCGATAGCTTTCTGTGCTACTGAGCTGCTAAGATCTATCCCGACATTTTTCTTACAACAAGCATCGAGAATACATCTCCATATAACCGCATCCGGCTTGCAGTTCATTTCGTTTACGACGTCGAGCGCTTCAGATATAAACCCAGCTCGAGCCAGCAAATCGACCATGCACCCGAAGTGCTCGAGCTCAGGTTCTAGCCCCAACTCGTTAGTCATAAGGCCGAAGTATCTCCGTCCCTCGTTCACGAGGCCTCCGTGTTTACAGGCGCTCAAAACCGCGACGAACGTAATAGAATTCGGCTTCAGGCCGTCGGCTGCGCACAAGTCCTCGAACAAATCCAAAGATTCTCGCACCCTGCCGTGCGTCGCGCACCCGAGAATCATCGAATTCCAAGAAGGAACATCTCGCGCGCATCCGGTGGAAAACCTGACGAGCCATCCGGATAGCCCGCATTTCGAGTACAAGTCAAGAAGCGAGTTGTTTATCAGAACATCGTCGAGAACATCCTTGCCGCGGCCGCCGCCGCCGCTTCTGTTCATCATGAACGCGTGAGCCCACAATCGAGAGATAGACACCCCAGCCGCCGCACGCGCGGAGCACGCTCTGCATGGCGTACCCATCAGCCTCCACTCCCTCCCTCATCGCCGACCTAAAGAGGCCGAGGGCAACCTCGTACTCCCCGCCGACGAGTGCGCATCGATGACGCGCGTTCCAAGACACCCTGATTCCGCGTCGGCATCCGCGTCGAACACGCATCTGGCCAGGGCCAGCTCGCCGCAGGAGGAGTAGAAGTGTATTAGGCTGTTGCATACGTAGACGTCGGGAAGAGAAACGAGCTTGATTACGTAGGAGTGCACCTGGCAGCGAACGCAGTAGTCGAAGAAGGAAGGCGCAGCCGGAGGACGAAGGGAAGGTGTGGTTGTCGGGGTCGGTGCCCGATTAGGAGCATGCGGCGATACAGGCGGAGGGGCAAGTGGCGTCTGCGCTTGTCGTCGTCGAGGAGGAGGAGCGGCGGCGGAGCTGGCGCGGATGAGGGAGTTGAAGCAGAAGGAGTTGGGAGCAGGCTGAGAGGGGGCGAGCCGGTGTCGAGGAGTTTGCAGGCGTAAGAGAGGTCGTCGCTGTTGGCGGAGGAGGAGTGGTGAACGAGGCGCCGGGAGTAGAGGAAGAGGAGAGCGTTGTTCTCCTGGGGCGGGAGCGAGGGCGAGGTCCTGAGGGCGTGGGCGTGGATTTGCTTGATGTGGAGGGTGTTTGTGTTGTGTTTTTCTAGCAAGGGGAGGAGAGGGTGGTGGTGATGAGGCGGGAATGGTGAAGAGATGGACATCGGTAATTAACGAGGAGCAGAGCGGAGCAGAGCGGAGCAGAGCGGAGGAGGGCAGCGAGGCAGCAGCATGCAAGGATGATGAATGCGGGGTGGTTGTGTGGACGATGAATCCACCTAATCCAATCCCTTTTGTTACTGGGACCCAAGAAATGAAATGCTTTGATATTTTGTGCTTTAACCCCGGTAACGATGTATTTTTGAATTTCCACACGGATGACGACACACAAGCATCATAAAATAGACATTCGGGATTGAGTAGGGGGGTGAAAAAAGATGTTTTGGAGTTTTCTGAAATTCCCAAACTACTCGGGGGTTAAGAGGCTGTTTGGTACATTTCTGAAAAGAAAAAAAAACAGAAATATAGAAAGGAAACTATTTCTTGACATTTTATTGGGGTTTCCCACATTTGATTTTTTTTGTTTGTTTGTTTCACAGTGAAATCAATGGATTGAAATTGAAGTTTTTATTTCCACATGTTTGTTTCACCACTTTAAAAACAAGAAATCCAGGACCCCTTTTACATTTCAACTTCTAATGTTTGGTATGCACAAACAGCGAGACTGAGAAACTTTGCATAACACCACCGTGGTGAGCTTACCGCTCCCAAAGCAACCCCAATCTCCCAACGGTAAAATATGAGCAATGTGCAGAAATTCAAAGAACGGCATAGTGAAAAAAAGTTATTAATTAGTCAGAGTGAAGATGGGTGCTCCTATATAGTAGTGGTGCCTGATGAATGCTCCTTTGCAACAAAGCCATTTTCTACTCCAACCCGAGCCTCTTCATTTTGCTGCATCCTTTACAAATATATTTGTAGGCTGTCTAAAAATCACAATAGATAGCTGATCCTCATCAAAACACCGATGATGAAAGTTACACTCTGACGACTTTCAGAAGGTTACAATTTGAAGACTTTCACGTAGACTGATGAAGGTTACAATCTGACGACCTTTGCAACAACTGATGAAAGCTCTAATCAACAGCCTCCACAATCAACATCGGGAGTTACAATCTGACGACTCTCACATATCAAAGAGCTAAAGCAAAGATTACAAAACGACGATCTTTGCAACGTTCTGACAAAAAGAGACTACAAATCGACGGTCTCTTCAAACCAAGAAGTGGAAGTCCTCCCCGCGTACCAGCATCAAGACGCACCGCGTTCATAGCCACGAACGCAGCTCAGATGCAGCTTCCAACGCTGCCAACGCAGCTTCCAAATCGCTGCAAACGCAGCTCAGACGCAGCTTCAAACGCTGCCAACGCTGCTTCCAAATTGCTGCAAATGCAGCTCAGACGCAGCTTCCAACGCTGCCAACGTAGCTTCCAAATCGCTACAAACGCAGCTCAGACACAGCTTCCAACGCTGCCAACGCTGCTACCAAATCGCTGCAAACGCAGCACAGACGCAGCTTCCAATGCCGCCAACGCAGCTTCCAAATCACTGCAAACGCAGCTCAGACGCAGCTTCCAACGCTGCCAACGCAGCTTCCAAATCGCTGCAAACGTAGCTCATGTTCGGCCGCAAACGTAGCATCTAACTGCTGCCAACGCAGCTTTTAACAGCTGCCAACGCAGGTTCCATCTGCTGCCCAACGTAACTCGCAAACACTGCGTTCAAACGCAGATTTCACGCCAGAACGCGGATTTTGCGTTTGACTCGTTCAAACACGAGCTGAACAGTTTCAAAACCGTTTTCCACGATCTGAGAGGATCATAACTCCACTTAGGAGCGGATTAAGGGGTGGTTACATCTCACTAGCCCCACTTAGGAGCGAATTAAGGGGGCGGTTACACCCCTTAATCATTTATAAATAACTAAGAAATCAACTTAGTTCGGATCCTGGATTTTAGGCTGGGATCTTTCATCCTTCTTTTGGGCAGCAAAGAAGAGATCTTGGGGAGAATTGCTGGAGCTTTGGAGATCATCCTTCTTTTGGGCAGCAAAGAAGAGATCTTGGGGAGAATTGCTGGAGCTTTGGAGATCAGCAACGGAAGCTTTCTTCATCCTTGGCTTATAGACCGATTTCGGTTAAATTAACTCTTTCATAGAGTTTCAAACTCGTTCAGAGTTCTCCACAACGTCAAATCTTGAGGAGAAGACTACGTTTCAGTGAATCAAGACGTGCGGATCGTCAACGGAGAGCAAACTCGACGCGAACATTCGAGGGAGGCACTCCATCGCCACCGTGAAGAACCCAGAATTAAACAAAGGGGAGAATCCAGATTAATTCTCCTCTCTTTTGTAATCAAGAAATCCAATTGTAACTGAGATTAAAGGAATACAGATTAATTTTCCTTCGTTTCTTTTACTACAAATTTTCCACCAAACAAAAGATGACGACTCTGCTGGGGACTAGCTTCTCTAACGAAGAAGTGGTGGTGCAATCCGATGTTCATCTCACTGGAACAACCGTCGAAACTCTTGTTGTTGAGTTTGATCAAGCCAAGTTTGAGGAGGCTCTCTCATCCGGATCCCTTAACCCTAAGGCTATGCGTAAGATCCGCAAAGTCTTCAAGGAGACTAAAGCTCCAGTTATGGCCGACTCGTTGAAGGACTGTCTCCCTTGGGGGTTGCACTGTTCATACAGTCCCCTCTCTGAAGGAGAAGACTTAGCTTCGATACAACTCCAAAATAGCCGATCCTCCAATCAACGCGAGCTCTGCGTTTGTGAGCCTCAACACGATCTCTGCATAAGCCAAGCTAAACGCAGCCCTCAGGACTACGTTTCACCAGCAACACCTGGAGCTCAAGCATGCGTTCGGGTGAAAAAATTCAATATGGAACCTGGTGTATACTCTGCGTAGCGCGATTAGATCGAGGGGCGGATATAAGAAGTCTTTGGATTCAAGGCATCTCAACCAGATCCATGTTTACCAAGAGCCAGTCATGTCCAATCATGGACTGAGGGTTCCAATTCAAACCTCACGATCAGTGAGCAATTCTCCTCGAATCTTCACAATGGATTTGAGAGAGTTCATATCGAGAGAAAAACCGATGCAACAAATCATTCGTTCATTCCAATATGAACGGCTGATTCCTACGGTCCTCTCGGGATGTCAATACTGCTCATATGCGGCCAAACTGTTGGTGTTCGACCAATTTACGAACGTTGCTTTGCCCAACCAACGCCGACGTTCTCACAGGAAGAAGTCTCCAGAGACTGAATATCCTAGGGTCACTATCAATGTGATCGGCAGAGGGAAAGCCTCAGGTCCTAGTTCCGATGACTCTGAGACAAGTCGTTCACCGATCGTCAGAGAAATCGCTAACGAGTTTGAAGGAGTCTACCAACGTACTCGGACGCGAACAGGAGCCATTCTCCCTATCAACTATCAGAAGCTAGCTAGAGGAACCAATTTCGATGATGAACACTCAGCTATTGTAGAGTCCTAATCATCAAGCTCTTTTGTTGAATATGAGAGCTCCGCTTATATAACGAAAAACCATGAAGATCTCGTGAAGAGACTTGATGAGTAGGAGGCCATGCTCAAATCTCAGCAGGAGGCCATCAATAAACTCATGGCCCTGTTGAATCAACTCATCGCAGACAAGGCCAAATCCCAGAAGACAGATTCGCCACCTAGGCAAGAATCCTCCCGGAGAGGAAAAACATCTTCATCCCGACCTCACACAAGCAAAGGGAAGGAAAAAGTGGTTGATGATACGGCTTCTGACCAAGAAGCCCACAACCTAGAATCTTCTTCTGATGAAGGAAGAGAGACGGAGAACGAGCAGAATCTCCAGTCTGCCAAAATGAAAGAATTGGAAGCCTGTCTTAATGTCATTGCTAACAGAAGCGAGCTCCAAGATGAGGGAGTTGTCAGGCCCTATCCTGCCGAATGGGATGCAGCCCCTTATCCTCCAAAATTTGAGGTCCCGACGCTACAAACTTTTGACGGCACAGGATCACCGAACCAACATATCTATCATTTCAAGTCACAGACTGGGAATGTGATATCAAACGATGACATACTGGCTCGATTGTTCATTGGCACCCTCAAGGGAGTTGCCTTTGATTGGTTCAGGAAACTACCTGTGGGATGTATCCAAAAATGGGCGGATCTAGAGAGACTCTTCCTGTCGAGATTCTTTGAAGAGGATACAGAAGTCTCCATCCATACTCTTCTCGCCACTAAGCAAAAGAAGAGGGAGTCCGTCAAAGCCTTCGTTAAGAGGTTTCGAAATATGGCTCTGCGATGTTCGTCAGGTATGACACAGTCTACACTGGTAGAGACCTGTCGACACAACTTGCAAACCGACCTCCTAGCCTGAATAGGAGTTGCAGGATGTCGTTCTTGGAGACAACTAATCTCTCAAGGAGAACAGGCCCAAAAGATTATTGCCAGGATCAAAGCTGAAGAACAAAGTAGGCAGGATCAACCTGAGCAATCGGACCAAGCCCAATCTTCTCAGTCAGAAGAAGAAGATACTACGGCCACTGAAGCCAATCCTCTTCAATAGGATGGCGGGTCCACCAAAACTATCACGTTAACAATTACCTCTGATAGTTCATTTCCTCCAAATTCCCCCACTAATCCTCTTCAATAGGATGACGGGTCCATCAAAACTATCATGTTAACAATTATCTCTGATAGTTTATTTTGTCCAAATTCCCCCACCAATCCTCTTTAATAGGATGGCGGGTCCATCAAAACTATAACGTTAACAATTACCTCTGATAGTTCATTTTTTTTAAATTCCCCCACCAATCCTCTTCAATAGGATGGCGGGTCCACCAAAACTATCACGTTAATGATCACCTCTGATAGTCCATTTTTCCAAATTCCCCCATCAATCCTCTTCAATAGTATGGCAGGTCCACCAAAACTATCAAGTTAATAGTTACCTCTGATAGTCCATCAACTTGCCAATCTTCTTAAATAGGATTGCAGATTCATAAAAACTATCATGTTAATAGTTACCTCTGATAGTCCATCAACTTGCCAATCTTCTTAAATAGGATGACAGGTCCACAAAACTATCACCTCTGATAGCCAAACTCTTTAGATAGCGGCCTGCCATGTGATGTACCTCTATTCCGACTTCATGGATAGTGCCCCACAAGGTGGTATGTCATGTCTACCCCTATTTTTCTTCCCCTGCTAAGTATTAATCAAGACTGGGGGTTGGTTACTTGGAATCTACTGGATTAAGAGTAACGAATCTTTCACATCGTCAAGTTAACATTATACTTCTGACGATTATCACCCCCACGGGGTATGAATTTAGTTTGCATCACTCCCAACTTGTCACGTTAACAATACACCTCTGACAATCAACTTATCAATCCTCTTTAATAGAATGATAGGTCCTAAAAATTGCTCAAATCTCAATCTTCCCCAGCAAGACGCTAAGTCTTCAAAATCTTGTTCGAATCACAAGCATCAAAATTTATCGTTTTTGATGATAAACTCATTTAGCAAGTTTCCCCAGCGAGACGCTAATTCCTAAAATCTTGTGCAAGTCACAAGAACACATTCCTGTCAAGTTAACATCAAACCTCTGACAAAATCCACTTATCAATCCTCGTCAATAGGATGATAAGTCCACAAAGTTGCTCCAATCGCAACACATTCCTGTCACGTTAACAATATACCTCTGACAACAATCCACTTATCAATCCTCGTCAATAGGATGATAAGTCTCCAAAGTTGCTCCAATCGC